GTGGGTCTGTCTTTCTGGGGCGTTCTCCAAAAACCAAAGTCGGGCTCATATGAGAGTTCGCTGCTCCCGCGATTCAAACTCGATCGAGATAAAGGCGATGTTCTCGGCGCAGAACTGGAACGTGTATAAATACTTCTCCAGCTTCTGTCTTTCTCTTCTCTACAACACTTCCGAATCTAGAGTCCAAAAATAAAGAGCGAGGGACATTGATGGCTGCGGCCCTGCTCTTCCCCTCGATTGTTGTCTAAAACCCTTGACCAATAACTTCATGGAGTGCGTTGCTCTCGTTCACCAAAACTTACGGTGGATCATGTGTGCTCTTAGCGCAGGACTGGGACCTGTATAAATACCCTTTGGGATTCTTGTACTACTCTTCTCTCCAACACCTCCAGTCTTGGAGTCCAAAAATCGGCATCGGCAAGACCATGGTCTTGGCTTGCTCTCTTTTCCCTTATTATTTTCCAAAAAGTATCAATGACAGCGACATGGCGTGCGCTGCTCGTTCACAGAATTATTGAATGCGATTTCTTATAGTGATGATGATGATCGTCATCATCATCGTCAACTCTCAAATGCCCCAACCACACGCCATCAATACTTCCCTACTATCGTACACATGCGATCCAACTTTCCTTCTATACCCAAACGATCCACCTCTTCACCCAGCCCCTCCCCATCTCACCCCTCCTACTTCGTCTTCGGCTTAACCTGAAAAAAACTACTCATCTTCTTCATCCCACTCGTATCCACCTTCTTCAGCGCCTTAACCCCCCTCCCCTCACTCTTCTTCTTCCTCTCCTCATCCTCCTTCTTCCGCTTCTTCTCTTCCCTTTCCGCAATCTTCTCATCGTCTTCTTCAATCGCCCTCTTCCGGGAGATATTGTCTGATATGCTGCGTAGAGACAGCGCTTCGGATTTTAGAGCGGAGATGGCGGAGAGGTGGGTGTCGAGGGGTGTGAAGCGGGGGGTTAGGAGGGCGAGTAGGGGTGTGCGGAGGGGTGGGGGAATGTAGGAGGAGAGAAGGTAGGTTAGGGATGTGCGGAGGCGGAGGAGGTGGGGGATTTCGGTGGGGGTTGTGAGGGTGGGTTTTGAGGGTGCGTCGTCGGGGGTTGTGATGGTTGTTGTGACGTTTGTTTGTGAGTCTACTGTTGTGCTGTTCTCCTTTTCTGAGTCTGCGCCAGGCGTTATTGTGGTGGTGTTTAATGTGCTTTCCTCGCGCTTTATGCTCATGATAGGTATCTCCAGGGCTGTCTTGATGAATCTCTCCTCCATCGACGGTGGCAATCCTTTCTTGACCATGCGTTCGGCTTTTGAGAGAAGGACTTCGAGCAGCTTAGGGTGCGAAAGGCGGTACATGGACTCTTCGCCTGCGTCGACTGTGTCACATATCCTTCGCATCTTGGTCTCTATCATAATCTTGAGGGTGGGGTATTGTGATAATAGCGCTTTCCAATGTGGTGAAGCGGATGAGAGTGCGTCGAGGTAGTCGTCGAAGGCGAGAAAGTGCTGTTTCGTGTCTTTTGCTGACTTTGGTGTGAGGGCGGGGAGGATGAGGAAGAGGATGTCGACGGGTGTTGCGAGGAAGAGGTCGGCGGATTTTGTGATGTAGCCGCTGCCTATCCGTGAGGCATCTGCTTCTTCTGTGGTGTCATCCTCGCTCTTCTCTCCTGTTATCAACCAACTCTTGAAGTCTTTCTTCGGCGCAGCGATGCGCGTGAACTCGTAAAAGCCTTTATCAGGGCAGAAGTAATATCGTGATGGTGTATCATTTGCGGGGTTGTCGAGGCTGACTATGCGCGCGTCTTTGGAAGTGTCTTTTGGTAGAACGAACAGTTTCGGGGGGTTCGATGTGCTTGCGGGCAGCGGTTTGGCTGTGGTGGTAGGTTCGGGCGTGGCCTCTTTAGGCGTGGCCTTTGCGGGTTTCGAACGTGTGCGCGCCATTGCAAGGTGTCTGCTGGTCCAATACAGTATTGAAAGTGGTGTATCCAATTCGTGGTGGAAGTGAAGTTCAGGCGCGTCGCGTGGGCGCAACCTTACACGCGCAATCCCTGTCACGTCACGGTTTCGGATTAGATTAGTCTGGGGTGAACCACAGTCCGGTGTCAACAAACGCTACGGGGCCGGGCTATGCGCTTGTGAGTCCTGCCTGACGATCGACTGTTTCCCATCTTGCTTTTCCCGCTTTCCAGTATTGGCGTTGCTATGGGCCACTGCGAGATAGCGCATCCTGTATTGCACCATCACAACAATGATCGTGCGGGAGAGCCCCAAGTCAAAAGGTAAGTCGCCCATGTGAGTGTGCCGGGCATGCGCTGACTCTGTGACAGTCAAGAGCAACCAGCCCAACTGGCCCCCGCAGTCGCCCGTCGAAGCCCTTCTCAGCTCGCCATCCGGCCGTAAGAGGTACGAGAGCCGCCGCCAGCGCGACTCAGCATCGCCATCCCCCTCGAAACGCCGCCCAATGTCGCGCGGAGGTGTGCCAGCCGGCAGCGACGGAGAGGAGGATGAGGAGACGCTCCAGCTGCAACTCCAGGCCATCGAGGCCAAGCTGAAGCTGAAGGCCCTGCAGAAGAAGAAGAACGAGTCTCAGGATCTGGATCGCAATGGAGCGTCATCACGAGCGAGCATGGCCACCAGCATGCGCAGAATCGACCTGCCGCGGCCCGAGACAAGACAAGAGACCGACGTCGAGGTACCACGATCACCAGTCCGGATGCGACAAGCGCCAACCGAGCCGAAGAGTCCTGCGCGCGTCATGCTGGGCATAGACAAGGGACTTACAGCCCGCGACGTTAGTCTCAAGCGGCCGGGAAGTGCTGTCAGCGGGCGCATGTCGCGGCTGGGCTCGTCGAAAGAGGCCGAGCCACCCAAGATCAAATCCTTCAGTGAGCGCATCGCAGAGAGCAGGAACAAGGAGAAGGAGCGCGAAGAGAAGGAAGACAAGGCCGAACAGAGACGGAGCAGGGGGTTTGGGCTACAGAACATCGAAGCGCTGAAAGATCGGCCGTCGCTATCACGAACCAGCTCTTCTCAGAGTACCGACACCAAGACCTCGCGCGACATGCCTCCGCCGGCCTTGAGGAATCACAGCCGAACGCAAAGTTTACAGAACCGTACATTTGGGGGTCCGCCCACTCCAAGACCAGGCTCCACACTATCCTTCAGGCCTGAAAGCTCACGCCCAACCTCGTCCTCTTCCAAGGCCACGTCTAGCAGCTTTGGCTCAACACCGACCGCCACAAAGTACGCCGAGATCTCGTCGCGTGACGAAAGCGCCGATGCTCCTAGTTTCGAATCATTCTCTGGTCTACATCTCAAGTCGAGAGAAATGCAACACAATGTAGTCACCCGCACCCTGGAAGGCAAGACAGTCCTCACTATACCTCAACTCTTGAAGACCGTCAAGGCGCCAGAGTATGATCCGCCGGATTGGGAGAACGATTACGTTGTTCTTGGGGTCATCTGCTCAAAGTCGACACCACAAAATTCGAAGAACGCCGCGAAGGACCAGACCAAAGGCAACCAGGACAAGAACTTAGACCAGAACGGCAAGTTTATGGTCATCCGTCTCACAGATCTCAAATGGGAGCTCGATCTTTTCCTGTTCGACACTGGCTTCTCACAGTTCTGGAAACTCCCTCTCGGTACACTTGTTGCTATCCTCAATCCGGACATCATGCCACCACGGAATCGCGACACCGGCAAATTCTCACTGAAATTGTCAAGTTCCGACGACACCATTCTTGAACTTGGGACAGCTCGAGATCTAGATTTCTGCCATGCACAACGGAAAGACGGCAAAGAATGCGGTCAGTGGATCGACGGTCGCAAGACTGAGTTCTGCGAGTTTCACATTCAACTTCAAGTCGACAAGGCCAAGAAAGGCCGTATGCAAGTCAACACCATGACCGGATTTGGTGGCGGACCAGGTGGTGGCATGTTTGGTCGACGAGGTGGCCCAAAAGGTGACGAACTCAAGAGGGAAGGCAAATATCACGACAGAGAACTCCACGAGACTGTCTACATCGCACCACGGCCCGGCGGCGCAGCCAAGCTCATCGACCGCGACCACCAAAACTGGGAAGGCGGGGCAGGCCGAGAAGATCGCTTCCGCAAGCAACTCGCCGAAAAGGAGAAGGAGAGGGAGCTTGCAAAGAAGCTCGGCACGATGGGAGACGGCAGTACCGGAGGCGACTACATGAAGCTCAAGGGCGCTGGTACACAAAACCTCCCCGCAAGAGGCTACACATCGTCGCAAGGTTCCTCAGGCGCAAAGCCCGACAAGCCAGCCGACGTAGACTTTACCAGTCTACTTAACCGTACGTCAGCCGATGTTTCTTTGGCGCCTGTTAAACGTAAACGAACAGCATCGGCGAAATCATCCAATTCGAGCGACCCCGTCGGCTGGGGCTTCAAGTACGGCCGTATCCCATCTCCGAAGAAGGACACCTCTTTCCCTTCTGCATTCCGCGGTACACGGGAAGCCAGTCCAGCAAAGAAGAAGGCGCGTCTCTTGCTAGCTGGAAAAGGCATCCGCGAGCCAGGGCGCGAGAGTCTAGGTGGTCTCGACGCCGGCCTTATCGCTGCCATGGACGACGACGACGATGACGATTTGGAAGTAGTTTAATTCTTTTGGAAAACACTAGGGGAGGCATACACAAAAAAACATGAGGGGGAGGGCGTTTGGGTCACAACAGCTCGCTGATTGGCTAGAGCTAAGCGAGTAACGGGGTGCATTTCGACTTTTCTGGGCTGATGGATACCGAAGGCTTTAGCGTGGAGCGAAGCCGCATTAACGACTTTCCTTTTGTTTTACTTGTACAATATTATACCCGCTTTGTTACGCTGAATCATATACTGCGTTCACTTTACCAAGATTCTGAAATTGGATAAACGAAGACGCGTGAGGGATTACTGACTATACCAACGCGACGCACGTGCGACCACGCCATTGAAGGAAAGAGCAGGACCACCAACTTCCAAACTCAACTCACACCAACATGGCGGCCCCAGACTCTAATACCACGGACAACAAAATCTACGCTCTAATCAACTACGAAGACCCCTACGTCCAACCCCTCATCATCGCCGCCCTCAAGAAGCGCTTGCCGAAATCGTGTTATGAGTTGATCACTTCATCATCCCAACTCCCCAGCCCTTCATCCCACCTCATCCAATGGGTCCAATACGAATCCATCGACTTCGACCACCTCATGGAAAACTCCTCCAGTAGTCTCGCCAACGCCTACATAATCCGCAAAGCCCTAATCCGGAAACACTACCTCAGCACCACCATCGCGAATTGGATCACCAAGTACCCGGATAGCGTACTCAAGAAACACGTGAAACCGAGTGTGGAGTTTGAAGTTGATTACGCCGAGTTTTTGGATGATGCATTGGTGGAGGCGTGGGAGTTGAAGGAGAGTTGGGCGCGGAATGAAAGTTTGGGAGAGGGGGAGGAGGAGAAGAGGGAATGGTGGATTCTGAAACCTGGGATGAGTGAGAGGGGGCAGGGAATCAGGTTGTTTAGCAGTGAGGAGGAGTTGACTGAGATTTTCGAGGAGTGGGATCCTGAGAGTGATGATGAGGAAGAAGAGGAGGAGGAGGAGGATGCGAGAAGTGACGCCGGCAGCGGTATTGGCAGTAAGGGTGAGGGAAAGGGGGAGAAAGAGGAGGGAAACGGCATCATAACATCACAACTCCGCCACTTCATCGCACAACCTTACATCCACCCACCTTTACTCCTCTCCCCTCCGAACGCCGCCTCTTCAGAATTACGGAAATTCCATATCCGGACTTACGTCCTCGCCACATCCGCTCTGCAGGTATTCGTCTACCGCCCCATGCTCGCCCTCTTCGCTGCGCGTCCCTACGTCCCTCCTTGGGACGACGTGTTGCAGGAAGATCGCGATGAGGCAATGCGAGCGCATCTGACAAATACGTGTTTACAAGACAGTGGGGATAGGGAGGGCAGTGTAGGGTTATTCTGGTCTCTCTCCGACTCTTTACCCCAACAGCCCGAGGGGGTGAAGTTGGATGTGAGGGAAGACTGGAAGGATAAAGTATTCTCGCAGATCAAGGAAACCACAAGCGCAACGTTTGAAGCTGCGGCGAGGGGGATGTCGATTCATTTCCAGCCGCTGCCTAACAGTTTCGAAATCTTTGGCTTGGATTTCATGGTGGGCATTGAACCGGATGGCGAGCTCAATACGTATCTACTAGAGGTGAATGCGTTTCCGGATTTCAGGCAAACGGGTAGCGAGTTGAGTGGCATGATCGAGGGGCTTTTTGAGGATGTGGTTAATAAGGGGGTTATGCCTTTCTTTGGGGTTGGCGCAGAGGATGGAAAGGTGCAGGAGGGAGATGACGGGATGGTCAAGGTCTTGGATATTGATCTGGGACGGCGGTGAGGAGGATATCTTGTGGAGAGGAGATGGGATATCACAGCATAGCATGGTCACAACGAATAAGTTTGGTCAGAGTTATCACTCGTATTTTCCTTGATCTATACTACGTTCCCTTCCATGTCCTCCCATTACCATCGACTCAACCGCCAATCGCCGTAAACCAGCTCAATGTCTGATCGTCGAAATGACTCACAAACATCAAGTCACCGTATACCGTGATCCCGCAGTCAAATCCATATTCCCTACTTACTAACTAAGTTACTCTGGTCAACGCACATGTGCGTGCTGTCCAGTAAATGTCCCAGAGAAAACACCGATTACAATGCCTTCTCGGCAAAGAAAGGTGTCCACTACCCTTCAGTACCAAACAAACATTAAAGGCCGTCAGTAATGCGAACCTTTTCGTAATGTAATCGTGGGTATCCTGATCCTGATCCTCGACTTGAATAGATCGAAGAACACAAAAAGCAAACGCTCGCTATGCAAACAATCAGTCACAAAGGACCTGATGCAAAAGAGGAGTTGGGAACGCTTGGTGATGGCATCTCAACACAAGCTACGATGAAGACTTGTTCAAGACGAACGGGCTGGGAGGGCCGTTAGATGTTGTCAATTGACATGGATGAGGTGGAGTGCTCACTGCGAGCCCGCTTGTCTGCTGCCTCGCGCTCGAGCGGCTCACCGCTGCGCTTCTTGGATGTCTTGGTGGAGCTGCTGGAGCTGTGCGCTGACTTGACACGCGACCATGAATCAAACGAGATCTCTGTTACTGTATAAGCGGGAGTTTCACTGGCGAAGATTGAAGAGACTTACCCTTCTTGAGCTTGCGGGTAGTAGGCGGCGGCGATGTGAGCAGCGATGGTGTTGGGACGGCGTTCTTGCCCTTCTTGCGGCTCGGGGTCGCGACGGACGCATCAATGTCGGTGGTCGCCTCCTCGTCGTCGGTCTCAATACCGTTTGCGCGGTTGCGCTCTTTGATTTCTGCTTGGAACAGAAGACGTGGTTTGATCGACGAACGGGTAAGCGGGCGACGAGCCTCATGGCCAATCTGGCGACGGACTTGCTTGTCATCGGCGGAGAGGTCGTCGTCTTCCTCTGCCGCTGAGGCGCCGGAGGGTGCGTCGTCGTGGAACTTGCGGAAGACCTTGCGACCTCGGAAGATGTATACCATGCCTTCGTCACGGTCGACAGCCGCCTCCATCTTGGCAGTCTTTCGGTCGACGACCTTCCTTGACTTTTGGGGAGCAGCCTTTGCCTTGCCCTTGCCCTTGACGGTGATGAATGGGTTGTCTTCAGTCTGGGCACCGGGGGTGGGTACACGCTCCTTGGAGTCGGTGTAGATGGGGATCTTTTCGGTGTTCTCGTCCATCTGCTGGGCGAAGCTCTCTAAAGTGTAGAGGTTCTTGGTCTTGCGGCCCTTGCGCGGGGTCGGCATGGCTTCGTCGATGGTTGAAGGTCGGTTGGCAGGGAACAAGACGCGGGCGGTCGAGCTGACGTCTTCGATGCGACGCTTGCGCGGCGTCTTTGCGGGAGTGGGGAGCATGCCCTGTGGAGAAGTTAGCATGTTGGTCGCGAGAGATGTCAGTAGAGGCGCTCGGCACTCGACGCGGTTGTTTGTCAACCGCACCGGGCCCAGGCGGTCACCTCAGGTAACATACAGGAGCCATGTTCGCAAACAGGGTGCGCCGGGACGAGCTTGGTGCAGCCGTGTCGGAGTCAGAGTCGAGCGGGTTGAGGTCCAAGGGCGCGCGACGGGTCGAGCGTGGGGAGCGGAGGTGTTGGTGTTGTGGGGATGCAGGCGACGACGGGGGTGAGAGTGCAAAGGAAGCGTTTGCGCGGGCTGCAGAACGCTTGGAGTGAGAAGAGGCCGTTGGCGTGATGTCGCGCCTGGTCCGTGGGCTAGGCCGCTCCTGTTGGTGAGTGTGAGCGTCGTGCTGGGCGGCCACTCTGCGCGATCGGCGCGGTGAAAACGGCTCGTAGTTGTCTCCATACAGCGGCGCGGGCGGCGTGTGGACGCGGCGGGGCGGGGACGGCGTGCGCTCCATGTTGGGTGGGATGATGCGCGTGTTTGTTTGGAATAGGGCAGTTGTGGTGTTGTTGTAGCAATACAGGGCGAATTGTGGGTATCCAAAATCAAAACAATGCCACAGCAAGCTCGATGTCGCAGCGCCTCAACGTTGGGATGATAATGGAAGCAGTATCGATATGCGCGGAAGTGGAGATGGCGGTAGGGCTGGTGATGGTGAAGGTGAAGGACAAAGCCGGGTGGAGACAATGGGCTATGTCACGACGGGGAATGAAGGAAGTCGCGAGGTTGGGACGGCAGGTGCAGATGGCTGGTGCTCCTTCCTTGGCGCAACGCGGAACATCAACAAACCCCTGCTAACCGCTGGCCCCGCCAAACCAAATACGTCAAACACGCCAACGCCTGTCAGTCGACAATCAATTCGTTCAGACAAGCCCGACACAATACACAGCACGTTAACACAGCATGGACCCGCCAAATCTGGGCGCGCTCGACCTCTCCGACTCGGACACAGACGCGTTGTTTGACACGCCCGCGGCACGCAAGACCAAGAAGCAGACAAAAGATGCGGACAATGACGCAGCAAAGACACGGTCAAAGGAGTCGCATTACACGACAGAAGAGGCGCGCGAGGCAGCATTGCGCAGGGAATTGGAGAGCATACGAAACGTGAACAAGGTCATCGAGGGCGTGGTAGAAAGCCTGCAAAAGGCCAAGGACAACATGGCTGTAAGGGACAATAGTAGAACTGCCGCAGTCTCTAGACTGACGATGAATAGACTGTATCACGCACCGTCCAGAACGCGTCTACCTTGCTCCAAACATGGACGCGCATACTTTCCCAAACAGAACATAATCAGCGTCTAATCTTGAACCCGCAATGGCAGGGCGCGTCGCAAGATTTGGTAGATATCGAGGAGGAAGAAGTACACCGCCAGCAGGCTGCACAACGTCGGGCAGCAGAAGAGCAGGCGCGCAGGGAAGCTGCAGCGAGGAAGATCGAAGAGGATCGCAGAAAGGCAGAAGCAGCTCCGAGGGCAGGCACACGAGGCAGAGGCAGAGGCGTTCGACCACGGGGTGCCTCGACATCGTCCACAGGGAACTATATCGGTGTGGGTGGACAGACAGGACGCGGGGTCAGTCGTAGCGACTCACGAGGTCGAGCCGGCAGCGGCATCGGACGAGGGCTCCCGCGGGGACGAGGCAGAGGCTTGGGTTGATGGGACTGCACACACGCCTTCGCCTCACCTCGAACGCATACATGAAATACCCAATCGACATATACACCTAAATCGTATACTTCGCAGTCTGGTGGTATCGAATGCTGAGGTCAGCATAATTTATCGTGCAATTTCCGGTCGCCTCACTGAGTTCAACTCATCTTACCATCGCCGGGCATCCATAGCTTATCTTACCACGGCACTTTCCCCCCGAACAACCGCGACACGAGACCTCAAATCCGTACCTGCAGCTCGATGCAGTTCACGGGCCGTTGGTGATGCGGATGCGCTTCTCAAAACGGCAAGGTCTGAGGACCCCACTTGTCGTCAGTTGGACCCCGCCGTACAGTTACTTGAGATCTTGCGACGATCCGGGGATTTAATAGATTCTGCTTTTCCTGCCCTTCGACCTGCTTTCTATTTCTCCTTCTCTTGCTTTTTGCGATCCTGAACTTCTAGATCGCGCAATGGAGGTCCCGACAGCAACGTCGCTACGCGACATCTACCCTGAAGACGCGCTCCCGGTCGAGACAAAGCGATGGGAGAGCCTACTCGCCAAGTTCAAAGAGCTCTATGGCAAACAAGCAGACTTTGTCGCTAGGAGTCCTGGACGCGTCAACATCATTGGCGAGGTAAATTACCTGCAAGAAGTCTATTACCTGTCGCTAAGGATTGCAGCACATCGACTACTCCCTGTACGAGGTCCTGCCCATGGCCATTACCGCCGACTTCATCATGGCTGTGGCTGTGCGACCATCTGAAGAGAAGCCCCGTGTACGGATAGCCAACCTCAACTCCGAGAAATTCCCCACCCGCGAGTTCGACATTCCCGAGGGAGAGATCCCCATCGACGCTACCGAGCATGAGTGGACCAACTACTTCAAGTCTGGACTGAAGGGTGTATCACAACTACTGCAAAAGAAGCGAGGAAAGTTCACATCCGTCGGCATGGACATTGTCTGCGATGGCACAGTACCCAGTGGTGGTGGCCTCTCAAGTTCAGCGTCCGTCGTCTGCACAAGCTCTTTGGCTGTGCTGGCTGCTAATGGCGAGGAGAAGATTGACAAGACCGAATTGTGCGAGCTTGCAATTGTCTCTGAGCGCGCAGTCGGTGTCAACTCTGGAGGGTGAGTCTTACCTGGCTTTTGCATTACCATAGCTGACAAGTCGTAGTATGGATCAAGCAGCCTCCGTCTTCTCCCTCCGCGGTTCGGCCCTATACGTATCGTTCAAGCCCAGCCTAAACTACACAAACATCGAGTTCCCCAAGACCGACCCCGAACTCGTCTTTGTTACCGCTCAGAGTTTCGTGGCCGCCGACAAGCACGTCACAGCTCCCGTATGCTACAACCTGCGCGTCGTAGAATGCACACTAGCAGCCGTTTTCCTAGCCAAAGCATTCGGTCTAAAGAAGGAGCTCCCGACAGACTCCTCGCCCCTCGGCGTCAGCCTCCGCGGCTTCCACGATACCTACTTCGAAGACAAAGAGAACGTCTCCGACAACACCAAGATCTCCGTGTCAGACTTCGAAACGCAACTCACGAAGCTTATTCAACACACCGAAGACTACCTCCCACAAGAAGACGGCTACACACGCACACAGATTAGCGGGCTGTTAGGAATCTCAGAGGAGGAACTGAACGAACGCTACATGTCCAAGTTCCCCGTGCGCGCCGAGAAGTTCATGCTCCGCCAGCGCGCCTTACACGTCTTCACTGAAGCCCTCCGCGTGATCAAATTCCGATCGCTCCTCGCAT